GCCCCCGCACACACTCCACACACACACTCCACCCCTCACACACACAGACTGCCCCCTCACACACACAAAGACAAACACACAGACTGCCCCTCACACATATTGTACCTGTCACACACACTGGACCCCTCACACACACTGCACCCCTCACACATACTGCAACTCACACACACACACACACACTACACACAAACACATACAAAGCAGCCTTCGCACACACAGCAGCTCGCAGACACACATATAAAAAAGTAGGATAGAAAAAAAAGAAACAGAGATACATTTTAGTACATATTTTTAAATAAGCAAAAACCCTCCTTTCTAATTTCTTTTTTACCATTAACAAAGATATAAAAGTTGGCGGTAGGTATACAAAGGTTGACTACCCCTAATTTAGCCTAACTATCACAATGTCGTCTCCGTTAAGGCAAGGATTGTCGGGGTTATAAAAGAGGTGAGAATTCAAAGTGAATTTCAAAATGTAGGCCAGAGTAGCTGAAATGAAAGCATAGCTGGCTTAGAGAACGCTTCCAACCCAACTGTTTTGGCCCTAATTTTGAAATTCACTTAGGTTATTCACTAAAGTGTGAGTTCTTACATTTGCTACATACATTATTACATACCTCCCAAGCGTCCCTATTTAAGAGGAGCATTTCCTATTTTGGACCCAAATCCCTCTCTCTCTCTTTTCTATCCTAATGTTCTTCCTTTCTAGGAGCTCCATATTCTTAGTTTGTTTGAGTGGACAACAGAGCTCCACAGCAATAATACCACAAGTAATGTGTCTTCAAAATACAATACATGTGTTTAGAAATCACTCTGTATAAATAAGATACATTGTTCTTATTCTAAATTACATTGTAGTTGTATAAATTGTTATTAGTAATCACCTATAATTTCTGAGAACAGTCCCACCACTGGCCATATCCTCACTCATGCTCTAAAATAAGTGTCTCTCTTTGTCCATTTGCAATGTTGAGAGGCATATATTTATATTTGGCACACATTTGCCTATAACAAATTTTAGTTGTGTCGTGCCATAGACTGGCGCCAATATTCATTTTCCCTTTAGATCAGTGATTGCTAACCGTGCCCCTGCAGATATTTGTAAGCTTTATCATCCATGATGAGCAGTCAGCCTTCAGCCAACATGGGACATTTAATTCTCAAACATCTGCATTGCCAAGGTTAGTGTCACTGACACACATTATGCGTCTTCACATTCTGGCAGCAATTGCCCGAGTCTTCCCATCTGTGAAATGAAGTGGTGTGGGTTTATTCTGCTCTGTTTCATCTAACTTCTCCTTTAAGCCCCTGGGTGCACGGCCTAACTACATGCAGTTAGATGTGCTATCTTGTTTATACAATGGATTTCTCAAATAAACAGTTGTCTGCCCTAATTTGTCTCGTTTCCTCTCTCTGCTCTCACACATGCATCAATTAGTATCTGTGCAAATCCTCATGAAAATACAAATATATATTACTTATTTTAATGTATTACAGGCATACTGGGTATTGTATAACAATTGGTGTGAAGAATAAAAGCCCAGGGATGAGTTCAGTAAAGATGAAGGAGAGGGTAATTTATCTTGATTTTAAGAAGATCGGGAAGACATATATGTAATTCAGTAAACTGCACAGGGCCACTCGAAATTCCAAATCCAGATCTTGTTTCCTTTATTTAACAATAAATGGATTTTGCAGAGCAGTTTCCAAATGTATGGATTTCTGCTGGACCGAACGCTGTTTGTTAAAATCCAAGCATTTGTCTCCTGAAGGCGCTAGCAGCCAGGAGGCATATGGCTAAAAACCTCCAGTGGTTTGTGGGTTATCCGATGCTTGCTAGCAAGTCACCACATTAAAATGTAAGAAAAAAAGAAAAAGATCAATATGACCCCCATATTATGGCAAAGTAGATTTTAAGCCTCCTTTATGCCTTAAGCTGCCAATGCGCATGCGTGGACATATTTACTGAATGGTGAGCACCTCCTCACCCTGATAATAGTGAGCCAATAAAACTAATACCTTTAAAAAAAAATTTTACTGACCATCGGATGTTTTAATTTCTTTAAAATCTTCTTTTCTTTTACCCCCAAAATGCCAGAAAATACATATCACAACGCTACTAATAAAAAAATTATGAAAATGTTAGAATTGTAAAAACTTGTGATAAAAAAAAAAAAGCAACGCAATAAAAAAACAAAACCTCAATGTAAGCCCCAAAAGCGATCCACGCAGAATGAGGTTCAAGGTGAGAAAAGTATCTTTAAAGACATTTCCGTATTTTGATATCTCAGAAGAGCACTCGATTGGTTGGCCTGTAAGTCAACTTGCGAGACAAGTTTTGAGAGCTCAACTGAGATTTGAAAGTGTGGATAAGTCTTTAGGTCTTTCCCTCCTTGAAATCTCTTTCTGAATTTAGCCCTCGAGGGGTTTATTTGGATCTATTTTTGTTGTTTTACTTTTTTTATTTTTGAGGGAATTTTGTGAATCGGGTCGTTTTTTTTTCTTTTGTATTTTTAATAGTATAATCGGTATGTAATGGCATTTTTTTGAGCTGAAGAAAAGCGTTTGGTAGAAAGATTGCATCTGAGTACTTTTTTTTCCTACAGGCTATCAGATTTATTGTCCTCCTCTCAATATTATTAGGGTAAGGGTAAGCAGATGTTTATTTTTATTGCTGGTGGGTATGGGCTTGGGCAAGAGGATGGGGGAAGGTCAAATTCCAAAATGGGGTTGCGGTGGCAAACAGCAAGTGCATAATAATTTGCAAGTGTGCATCCTGCTGGATGAGTTCGGCCCCGATTTCTTTATTTAAATTTTTTTTTTTTGTGTGATTTGTACGTATTCCGAATCCTATATTTTGTGTAGGGTTTGAATGCAAAAATCACTGATTTTAAACCGGACACATCAGGTTGATGTGTTGGTGCAGATTCGGTCAGAATGGACACATTCTGACCTGAAATAAAAATGAGAACTGCATTTGAATTCGGAATATGCCCATTTTCACCAAATATTGTTTTAAAAGGTGTTGAATATGTGTATATCAAATATTAAATACTAAAAACTTACATATATAAGGTTTTAATACATATATATATATATATATATATATATAAGGTGTTAGTATTTAATATTTAATATATATATATATATATATATATATATTTGTAAACTGAAAGCAAAATTTATGTAAATACAGGATTGTGTCGCATAGTGATACATTTAAATACTTTATTACTAAAAGGGTAATTAGATATCTGTTGTAGGTGAACATTTTCATTCTAATATTTTGCTCATTTCATTTTTCATTTTTTTCTAATTTCAATATGGATTTATTGTTATGATATTTATAGAGCGTCGTCAAACTCCCCAGCGCTTTACAATGGGTGGACGAACAGACATGTAGTTGTAACCAGACAAGTTGGACACACAGGAACAGAGGGGTTGAGGGCCCTGCTCAATGAGCTGACATGCTAGAGGGAGTGGGGTGAAATGACACAAAAAGGTAAGGATAGTATTAGACTAGTGACAGTTGCAGAAGAGGAATCAGTCAGGAGCTATTAACAGTTTAATTGATACACTTTTATGAAGCAGTGGGTTTTTAATGATTTTTTGAAGGAGTGGGGACTGGGTGAGCATCTAACGGAGGAGGGAAGCGAGTTCCACAGGAACGGTGCAGCCTTGAGAAATCTTGAAGGCGAGCATCAGAGGTGGGAGTACGGACAGAAGATAGACGTAAGTCTTCAGCAGATCGTAAGGGCCTAGACGGAACATACTTCTGTATAAGGGAGGATAGATATGTGGGAGCAGCATTATGTAGAGATTTGAAAGCAAAAACCAAAATTTTAAATTGAGCTCTATATTTTATAGGAAGCCAATGTAGGGACTGACAGAAGGCAGACAGGAAGATGAGCCTCGCCGCCGCATTCATTATGGACTGTAACGGCGCAAGTTGGGAGCACGTAAGACCACTGAGAAGCAGTAGTCAGGGTGAGAAAGGACAGTGGAATGGACCAACACCTTAGTCGCATCTGGCGTTAAGTAGGGGCGGATGCGCGCAATGTTTTTTAGATGGAAATGACCAGATTTGGCGATAGATTGAACATGAGGCTTGAAGGAGAGGTCGGAGTCAAAGAGAACACCTAGGCAGCGAGCCTGCGTGGTGGAGCTGATGGTAGCACCATAGACTTGGAGGGAGACAGACACAGGAGTAACAAGGTGAACAGCGCTAAAAATCAGAAAATGTACATACGTTTTGTAGAAATACTGGCCAGCAGAGTAACTTAAAAAAAAAAAAGAGAAACAAAAATACAAATAATGGTACAGTATGTATGAACGATATAATTCCACAAGAACAAAGGTGTTATATTCACACTCACACTTTGAGGAGCTATATCAGCTCGATGTTAAGAGCCTGGACGGAATAATCCCCGTCTATGGATTTCTTGAGGTTCAAGACCGTTGGTGAATTTATAGGTGTAAATATTCGTTACATGAAAAACAAGAGTAAAATACACCACATGGTATAGTACGTAAATATAAAATATTGTGAAAAAAAAAGTGGATGATCCTATTTACATATACTAGAGCAACGACCTGCTCTAGTTTGGAGAATTTCAGGTGGAATAATCCCCACCTTGGGATATAGTGGACCCAGGTATAGCAGCAAAGCAGTATTGGATAGGAAGGAGGACAAAAGGAATGACTGGATAGTTTAAAATATATATATACTTTAATACAATAAGTGAAAAGTGAATAATAAACTATAAAACCAGTCTTGTATAAAAGTCCAAAATTCTTCCTCACTTGACGCGTTTCACCAAAGCTTTCTCAAAAGTGAATGCTTGCTGCTTGGGGTCCTTGAGATTATATACCTTCTCTGATGATGAAAATTGATTCTGCTGTGCATATTTCCTCATTTCCTGTTTTCAGCAAGATAGCATAGACAGGAAGTTCTCCGGACACCATCTTGGATGTGGGCAATTTGTGGGAAAGTTCAAAAATAGGAATCAAAGGTATACAATAACATAATAACATCAGATAAATTATTATGTTATTGTATACCTTTGATTCCTATTTTTGAACTTTCCCACAAATTGCCCACATCCAAGATGGTGTCCGGAGAACTTCCTGTCTATGCTATCTTGCTGAAAACAGGAAATGAGGAAATATGCACAGCAGAATCGATTTTCATCATCAGAGAAGGTATATAATCTCAAGGACCCCAAGCAGCAAGCATTCACTTTTGAGAAAGCTTCGGCGAAACGCGTCAAGTGAGGAAGAATTTTGGACTTTTATACAGGACTGGTTTTATAGTTTATTATTCACTTTTTACTTATTGTATTAAAGTATATATATTTTTTAAACTATCCAGTCATTCCTTTTGTCCTCCTTCCTATCCAATACTGCTTTGCTGCTATACCTGGGTCCACTATATCCCAAGGTGGGGATTATTCCACCTGAAATTCTCCAAACTAGAGCAGGTCGTTGCTCTAGTATATGTAAGTAGGATCATCCACTTTTTTTTTCACAATATTTTATATTTACGTACTATACCATGTGGTGTATTTTACTCTTGTTTTTCATGTAACGAATATTTACACCTATAAATTCACCAACGGTCTTGAACCTCAAGAAATCCATAGACGGGGATTATTCCGTCCAGGCTCTTAACACCGAGCTGATATAGCTCCTCAAAGTGTGAGTGTGAATATAACACCTTTGTTCTTGTGGAATTATATCGTTCATACATACTGTACCATTATTTGTATTTTTGTTTCTCTTTTTTTTTTTAAGTTACTCTGCTGGCCAGTATTTCTACAAAACGTATGTACATTTTCTGATTTTTAGCGCTGTTCACCTTTCTATTTTATCTGTCTATTTATCACAAGGTAGAGGAACACCTTGTTGGTGAACTGCTGCTCACCCCTGAGAAGAGAGCGCTTATTATTCTTTTGCACAGGAGTAACAACACTTGAGGGAGGAAAGACCAGAATTTCAGTTTTGGTCAAGTTTAGTTTAAGGAAGTGGGCAGCCATCCAGTTAGAAACAGCAGAGAGGCAGTCAGAGACACTAGTCAAGAGGGACGGGGAGAGATCAGGAGGGAACAGGTAGATTTGCGTGTCATCTGCATAGAAATGATATTGGAAGCCAAAGGAGCTAATGAGTTTACCAAGGGAGGTAGTATAGATGGAGAACAGTAGGGGACCAAGGACTGAACCTTGGGGCACACCAACAGAGAGGAGTTGGGATTTACATTAATAGACTGCAACTTTATTTATGGTGTGTCTTCAAATTTCTAGATTCTTGAGAACTTAATACAGATTTGTTATGTGCACAATTTTAATCCACGTGTGTACCGAAACGTGTGTATTATTGTCTGGATCTGTTTGCACACCAAATCCTGTGGTAGACAGCTACTAGAGGTGGAGTTAACCCTGAAATGTAATTATTGCAGTTCATCAATAACTACAATTGCAGTGTTAAGGGGACAGGGACTCTGCACCCAGACCACTTCAATGAGGTGAAGTGGTCTGGGTGCTTATAGTATCCCTTTAATCCCAATTTCAGCCATTCCTCTTCTGAGATGGTCCTCTTTAATTCCACAGTCAAACAACATTTTACCACATGGGATTTGTATTCCCACGTCCTTTTTACACTCACACGGTACAACATTTGCAAACCTATCCATAAGTATTGTGTGCATCTTCCCAGACCTCCAGTCAGTGCTGTAAATCATCCTGTTGGCCATGTGAGGTTTTCAGAAATGTCAGCTAAAATACATGGACACCGTTGCATAATTTACTATTTTCTCATTTCTCAGTGCCCTATAGATGAAATAGGAAGGTCCAACATACTTATATTCATATATAACTTATTCCTGAGCCATGAATACATTAGGAAAGACCAATATCTCTAAAATTAAATAGTCATTTGCGTCTCATCTCACTCTCTTTTTATAAGACTGCAGCTGCCCTTGGATACGTAATCCAGCCACTTTAACAGACTGTTTTTAAATCAGTGAGAAAATGCATAATTAAAAGTATTTTCAATTATACGTCTACTAAACACTAATCTATATTTGGGCAGCCTCAGTGGTGTGTCCCTACACATTTTGAGGATTAGTGACAGCCATTAAATATTATCAACAAGGTTGAAGACCAGTTGCTAAATAGTTAAAATTTATAAATTGGACTTGGAAAATTATTCCAGTTTAATTATTTTGGGTTTCAAGGGACACTCCACTGCCCAGATACAAAATCAATCAAAATCACTGTTTAATAGATACACTCCAAATGGAAACTTGCATGCATTTAATTATGCATATTTTATTATCATTGGGTGTAAATATAAAAACAGCTTTTAAAATCTGAAGTTCTCTCGTCTGATTCTTTTGCAAGCCCTCCTCTTCTAATCTAAGACTTTCTGTGGCCGTCCAATCACAGACTTCCCAATGCAGCCCTATGAGAACTGTTTGCAAGGCAGGTGCTCTGAGCAATTGCCGCCTCTTGAGTTTAGCTCCACTGAACTAACCAAACCAGGCGGTAACAGGACTGGTTGTCTGCTTGAAAGCCAACCAGGTGTAACCAGGCTAATTTATAATAGTGTCAATTTCTATTGAAATTTACACTTTTTGTAAAATAAAAAAAAGAGGACACAGGTCACACAGAAAGCGTTTTAGCAAGCTAAAGTTCTTTAGGGGTGTGGGGTGTCCATTTAAAATTTAGACAACTCTGAATTCCCTGCAATTCTTGTTTTAGTGAATAACCCTGTAAATGTTACAGTTTCGGTTTCAATTCAATCATGTTTTAGTGTTTAGTGAAAAAAAACCTGTGTCAATCAATCAAATAAAATCAGCAATCCCCTTTCTAGCATAAATCAGCATTTGCTATCCCCAGAAAACATCTAAATACAATTTGTTACAAGAATCCAGGATAATAAAGCTTATTTTTATTAGTTTTTATGTAGCATTTAACAGTGCAATCTAAGGACTTTATTGCTGCTGTGTGAGAATACGTATGCAAATAAAACTCAGTTTGGCCTGAAGCCTTCTGGTTGGTATATTGCTGTCTTGGGGTATCTTGGCATCTACTTACAGCATGACAGTTTATCTAGGCAGTGTTTGATCTGAGCACTCGTAAAAGCAATGAATTCACTAATGTTTGTTTCCTCTTGTTTTTATTTTCCATGGTGTTAACCTTTATTATCAACGGTGTTTAGCTTCTAACGAAATGAGCTTGATGAAAGTAATGTTTTTACGTACGGTATTACTCATCACACAACTGCTTAAACTGGATCTACCACCTACACAATTTTCGGAATCCTTATACGTCCTAAATACACACAGTACTAAACACATCCTGCCTGTAGCTCGATTTTAATCACTATAATTGTTTTACAAACATTTGGTTTAATGTTCGGTATAAACCATGAACTGTCAAGTACTTAATCAATGCCTAACTCGATGAACTCTGGTTGGTTGCCGTAACCACAGGCATGTATATCATTTTGCATTAAGGTGTGTGCTATTATTGTTATAATTATTACTATTATTATTGAAAATGAATATTTATTTTAAATACAGATGATAAAAATTAAAGAAAATAAAGAAAACAGTAGCAATGGTATGCATTGGTGCTGTAAAGTGATACATTATAATGTCCAACGATTTAACCTCAGTACAAAGACTAATAGTTTACCACTTAAAAGGAACCTTTACCACGGGTGCAATTGTCTCTGTAAAACCGTAACAATCAAGTCTTTCTGTATTTGGACATCAGAGACGTCAGAGGATGTCCCTTCTTGGATTGGTATGATCTTCCAGTATAGGGAGACCTATTCACTATACTGGGAACATTGGGAAAGAGTTTTGACCAAAATTACCCAAATCAGTAATTTTTCAATTCATTTTATTTTTGGCCTAAGGTTTAAAATTCTCTGGTCAATCAATAACAATTACAGATTTACTGAAAAAACATGAGTGCATGTGGGGTGTCAATGGGAGCTCTACAATGTATTTTATTGACCTCTTCAAGGTATAGTATAAAACCACCTAATTTTTATTGGGTTAGTGTACTGGTCAAATTATGAGCCCTTTCCCTGATATACGGTATGCTGTTTTTTGTTTAAACTGTACGGAAGGATTTGTCATCATTTAATATTTTTAAAGGACTGCTCCACACTAAACATTATTAAAAAACATAAAATCACTCTTATAATAGATATACTTTAATAAATGCATGTATGGTTTCTTTTTGCTGCATATAGTTATTGGGAATATATCTAAAGAAAAGCAGCATTTTCAAGTCCCTCCTTTTCCCCCAGCAAAGTCTGAATCACAAGCACACGTGCAGTGAGGAGGGTGTGGGGTGTAGGAAAGACGATGGAACCTTGGAGCAAGCAAGCTTTATGCATTTGTACAGTGGAATGTCACTTTAATTTCCACTAGAAGGTGCCGGTTTCAACAGGTTACTCTATTGTCTTTTTCACTTGCTACGGGTGAATTGTGATTAACGTTTTTAAATAATTCCAGTTTTTTTAATCTAAATCATAACCTTGCTATTGATAACTTTTTTTTTTACATTCTTTCTTTCCTGATTTTAAATTGGAACAAGACATAAAAATATACAGAAATTGAACCTGATGAGCACAATTCTGAGAAATTAGTTAGCCAGGCTATTAAAATTTGCGCTAGGCAAGGTGTATACATCTTAGATCAAAACATGAACTTTGGTGCATATTAACTCTGTGTGTCTGATTGCGCTTGTCTGGTAAGCTATAAATTAAAAATAAAAATTTCCTAAGCAAACAAAATGTGGTTGTTCCATTTAAGAACTTTTCACGATTTGTCAAATTATTCTGAAATGTGTCTTTTATTTTTGATCTCTAATCTGTTTTACATTTTCTAAAATGATCCTAAAAGTTTTGGCTTTCCTCTGCTTTAATAGCGTTATGTTTTGACGAAATATTAATTTCAGAAAAGATCACCAAATTTATAGTTGTGTAAAAAAAAAAAAAACCAGTGGAAGAGAACACACATCTGTCAGAAAAAGTGGAGGAAGATTGTTAGCTCATCA